ACAACAGGTTCACAAAGTCTGGATTCGGCAGAGCGTCTCTGAGTGCTGTGATTCATGAGAGATATTACTCTGGACATGATTGAACCCTGAAGGTGCAGAGGTGGGCAAGCTGCTTCAAAATGAATCACAAGAGAGAAGCCCTTAAAGAACTAAAGGTAGTTGTCTGGTTAAAAACACCAAAATCAAGGACTTTCTACCCATATCTTCAAGCTTTGAAACCAAAGTAACCATTTATGTGAATTTTTTATTTTCCCCTTAACTTGAGAAAGAAAAAATTTGAAGCCTTTTGTATTTAATCCTTTCTTTTCAGATTATTTCAAATTTACAGCACCTGGCTGCTGCTTTGACTCTTAAACCTTGTAGAAGCAGTTAGGGTGTACTTCATTTTCTTTTCCCCCATGGCTGCATATTGGACCGTTTTCAAACATATATCTCAGAACCAGAACAAATCTGGGTAATTGCCGACAAAGTGAATCCAACTCATGCTTCATCCGTACCCGCCTGATGACAGCAGGAAACTTGTTTCAATCATGGGGCAGAGGAGAAGCTGTGATGGATTTAATTAATCCTTGGAGAAACAGGTAAATTTTGCTTGAGGCTACAGCAAAAAAAATCAGGATTTTAGTAAAGAAAAAGGGAAAATTAGGATTAAGTTTAAAATAACTCTGCCCGGTCTAATTCAAGATTAATCTCACCCAGAACTATTCATCACCGTTCTAAATGAAACCATAAAAACATCCTTCATTTCAGTTCTCTGCGTCCAGATCACAGTTTACCTGCTTTATTTAAACAGTTCAGTTCCCCAAACAGAAATCTTATCTTCCAGATCTATATAAAGGACTTCTGTTATAATAAGGACACTGTGTACTATTGCTGCTAGATAAACACTGATAACTAGGCCAATCTCTGCTGCATATACTGCATGTGAGTTCAGATACTTCAGAGAGCTAAATCTCCAACACATCTTGTTTTATCAGGACCATATTTGTCGACGCAGTTCTTTCAGCAACGATCTCACTCCTCTCCTGATTAGAGAGTATCTCGCATTATAATGATGATAATCATCCTCCCACCCAGCAAGCCATACACCCTTCCATTATCGGTTCATTATTCAACTTCTCCTTTTATCTATGATTCTGTGCCACTGTGGTCCATCTCACTGCTTCTCATCCAGCTGACCTCTGTGGCTTCTGTCCTGAATCAACCCCTGAAACAAGTCTGCTGTGTGGCTTTTATCAGGCTGATCAGGACTAAACTCTGAGTGCTCTTGCTGTTAGATGGCCTTAAAGTTGTAGAGTTATGTAATCAGGTTTTAGCTGCATGCCTGCTACTGTCAGCTCATGCTTCATGTCTAAACTTTCTGCATGCACAGTTTTTATGCATATATGCAACTTAACGTGTTTTTATTTTAAGACTTAGTCTCAGACAAACTTTATTTTTATTGTGTATACACAGTGTATATAAAACAAAGTTTCATTTATACAGCTTTCTAACTGTAAATGAGCAGCACCTTAGCAGTAAAAAGAACATTTCAATTCATAAAGTGCAGCAGTGATCAAATGTACACCGCGTGGGAGAGACATGGTGCAAAAAAGGGCATTGATGTAGAAGGTTCAGAGCAGTGCAAAAATAATAAAATGATAAAACAGATATGGTGCAAAATGCAGTAAATACCATTTGTGGATCTTGTTTACAGAGTAGAATCTTTTCCATTTCATGGCCAATGTTATACTGATATGGATCGCAATCTGCAAATTAAATGCATGCCTGCTACTGTCAGCTCACGGTCACGCTTCATGTCTGCAGACTTTCTGCATGCACAGTTTTAATGCCCATGTGCAACTAAATGTCTTTTTATTTTAAGCACTTCTGGATCTTGTCAACAGAGTAGAATCTTTTCCGTTTCATGGCCAATGTTACTCTTATATGGATCGCAATAAGCAAATTAAATGCCTTTAAAGAACAATGGATTGAGGCATTTCAACCTTCTAAGATAAATTTTATCCCTTTTATAAACCCAGAAAGATGCATCTCATCCTCCACCCAAATCAAAGCTTTTATTTAGTCAGAACCTTACAGAGAAAGTATTCTTATAGTTAGCATTGAAGCTTTTATACGATTAAATATAGGAATCTAAAATAAACATAAACTAGAACAGTAATTTGTGTTTTTATGCAGTTAAATGCATCTAAATAATTTATCAGATGGGCTGTGTGATGCTGTCTCCTTGCATCAGGAAGGTCGTAGCCTCTTATGGGTTTTTAATTCTGGATGTTCTCCCTGTGCATACCTGTGTCCTCACTTAAACTCAAGATGCTTCCTACTGTAACATTCAATTAAAAATATCTGCTCAGTACAGTACTGCTGCCTTGCAGCAAGAAGGTTATGGGTTCGATTCCCAGCCCAGGGTCTTTCTGCATGGAGTTTACATGTACTCTCCGGGTACTCAGGCTTTCTCCCACAGTCTAAAAACATGACTGTTAGGTTAATTGGCTTCTCTAAATTCTCCTTAGGTGTGAGTTTGGGCATGAATGGTTGTTCGTTCTGTTTGTCTCTGTGTTGCCCTGTGATGGACTGGTGAC